TGTCACCATTACACACCCACGCCCATGAGTCAATTATTTCATTTTGCTGTCATACAATGAATGCAGACTTTTGGAAGGTGCCAGACTGTCAGCTTTGAAGTCTACAGAACGGGTTTTGCAGAGACATCAGCAGTACCAGTTCTCCTTGTGCACTTCGATCTTTCTGAATCACGGTGTCTTGACTATAAAACAGCCTCCATTATATCCAGAATCAAGGTATAACTTGCCATCTGTTAGGATATTCTGCTTTTTTCCTATACAAAAGTGCCCCGATTATATGGCTTTTTATTTTCTTAGTTCATTTGGATACACTCTCGGGCATCTACTGGATTGAAAGACCTCTAATTGTAGTGCTGCCTTGTGGACTGAGTGAGCAGTAAGTCTGGCTTCCTTTTCTTGCTCCAGGGACTCCTCTCAAAATTTCCATGGAGAACTGTTTCTGCAGGCAGTTTGCATTCTCACTACCTTATCACTGCAGATAAACTTGGAGGATCAGGTCTTCCAGGCTATTAAATCAGCATCTCTCTAAGCTGCTAGTTTCACAGAATAACCAACTCTTGATTATGCAGCATAATGGCAGTAGTAGAATAACACAGATAAAACAAAACCAAGGTTGATACAAAAGGCACATAAATTAGACAGTAAGGATACATTTAGTGTGCTCATCTTTGAAAGGCTAGCAAGTGGATTCCTGTTGAGAACAGGGGCTGCTTTAAGCATGCAGGATGTGTCTGGGTGTCTGCAGGATGAACATTGCTCCGTTCAGACATAGTGCCGTGGCCAGGAATGATGGAGAAGGGCAGGGCCTGGTGAATCTACACTGTGGGTTCCATTCAGGAATCACCAAAGAATCCATCCAGGTATCATCAAAACTTGCGTGAAAAATTTAAGTTTCATTGAAGATATTATTTCTTCAAGAAAACATGTTGCTGATCCTAATCAAAATAGGGAGATAGTCAATGCTCTGTGGTATTTTAAGTGAGGGGACTGCTGCTGAGAGAAGGGGTGATTTTTCTCTTTTGGCAAATAGAAAAAAGTGCTGGTTTATGAGAGGTACAAATTCTTTGGCTGCAATAAACAAATCTTGCCCAGGGCCAGGGAGGCAAAGCTAAGCTAAACTTTCTCCTCCTGATCTCTAGCCATATCGTTCTGCAGCTGTGCAATTCTCCAGGGATTAGCTTGTGGACACACAAGCTAGCTCTCAAACAAAAAGCTTCAGTCTTTGTTTTTGGCAGTGAAAGCAGTGAGAAGCAGCAAGGCAGACACATAGGTTGTGCTGAATCTTTTGGGATGATCTCTCCCATGAACCTCCTGGGGATAGGACCAGAGCAGCAGCATTGCTTGCCTGTCACTGTGAGGTACCCTTTCCCAGCCGTGTTGAAAAGAGTAACTGCGTTTAAAATGGTCTTGCTTAGTCTGTGAAAATTAGGCTGGGTAACCTAAATATTAAGCAGTCTGCTTGTTTTGGGCTCCAGGGTCTTGAATTTAGGTACCTACACACAGTGTGATTGAGTGCCACGGCAGTTTACACAGGTAGTTCAGCCACAAACAAGTAAAGACTTGCACAACCAAGTGAAGGCTGTAAAATGCACTATCGGACTTGCAGAGAGCTAGTATGGATCTACTATATAATAAGATCAGAGAAAGCGGCCTGAGTAGTAGTAAGTCACCTCGAATTTCCTGTGTCTAGGCACAGTTATCAAGAAAGTTGCAGTAAACAAACTTACTAGCTGCCCCTGTCCTAATCTTCGTGATACTGTGGTTGAAACTGAGAAGAAACATGAAGCTATGCATGGATACAGTTTTGATGGCACTGATTTCTATAAACATTACAGAATATGAACATCTATACTGATACTGTTGACTTTAGCCACATACAAGTTCCAGTAACAGTGAATGCTTTAATATTGTTGGCTTTGCTCATTCCACCTTGACAAATTATGGATGATATGTTTAATTTCCCATTACTGAACCTGACTGCTCCTTAGAATATGGGAGGACTTTTATTTTCTTTTGCTGATGGAGAACTGAGGTACATTGTAGGGCTGTGCCCAAATTACATAGGAAGGTATGGCAGAGCAGGTAACTGAATGTGCTTTAGCTGAACCCTATCTCAGTTCTTTCACGCATATCTTCAACCCTGCATAATTTTTCCTCACATATCAAATTCATCCAGTTTTCCTTCACGAGAGTAAAGACTCTCTTAATGCCTCAAGGTCTGAAAGATCTCTTCTTTATTCCTTGCTTCATGAAGGTTCGCAGGGAAATAGCATGAGACTGTATGCTGTTGATATATTTCACAAAAGATGCAAATAGTTGTTTCCCTTGTATTTCTGATATCTGAGAGAAATAAACACAGGGATGAATTGTTTCAATGAAGAAGGAGAGAGGTAGTGTCAACAAGAAGAAGAAGGGATTACGCTTTCTTTCTGTTTGAGGGCTGCTGTACTCTCAAGTGTCAAGGTGAGAAGCAGTGCTCATGTCCTGCAGGGACAGACTGCTTCTGAAGACAGCAATGGCAAAACTTTTTCTATTTAGTCAAAAAGATATTTGTCTTTATGGTTGTATTAGATAGTTATCAGCATCTCTTGACTGAAGCTCTCAAACACATAATCTGAGGTAGTTCTGTTTAACTCGATGCACACAGTCTGCCTTATAAGGCAAGGAAGATGACATAGTGAATATGAAATACCATCTCATACTAGTGTTCCATGGACTTCCTGTTCAGCTTCCAACATACTTCAAAGCTTTGTAGCTGTCTGGTCTCCAGCTGTCCTACAAACAACCTCTTCACCCATGAAGCATGCTGTGGGTAGGGGCAGTTGTTTCACAGGAACCCAGAATACATTGTGTTCCCAGTGTAGGTTCTTGCCTGACTTTACCTCCGGTGGAACAGGAAGAGCTTGAGCTGGACTGTCCTCAGAGCTGTTTGCAAACTATTCTCAGAAACAATGGCTGATGATTCATCTGGCATCGTCATCAACAATCTCCAGGCCTGCCTTTTAACAAACCTTCCCATAGTAAAGAAAGGGGACCTTCCTAGACAGGACCATGTATGTTTCAGTCGTGGATCTACAGAAGAGTAATCTAGTTTTAAGACCACTTGTAATCAAGTGATTACATATGCTTGCCTGAGATCAGACAGTAAGCTAATTTAGCAGCTCTGGGGACCCTTGTTCCAGTGTTGTGCTCACATGACGTGAGCATGCTGACTCATCCATGTGTGGGAATATATAAATGCCTGCTTATAGCATGTTTTTACGAGTTTTAGTAATAAAGTAAAATCTGTGAGGTTGCAATACTTTATATGACAACAAAACTCTTTTGACACCAATATTTTAACTTAAAAAATGTTATAGTTTGAGAATGAAACTGAGTACCTTTTTTCATTCATCCTAGTGACACAGAAGGTCACTGATTTAATGTTCATAAACCTTGAAAGTTATTTCTTTGAGTAAACGTTTGCTGGAAGATAGCCTGTCAGGGTGATATCTCTTGCAAATGCCTGATTTAATGCTACCACAAGAAACTTTTTTTTGGTGAGCCCAAGACAAGACATGGGGTGGCCTACCTAGAGGTATGCATGATAATATAATGACAGCCTAAGTGATATTACAATATATGAAAATGAAAGGCCCCAGAGTAGGGAAGATTGATGGTGTTTACCTTCTGCAGTTGCTAGCAGTGAAAGGATAGCGATGACTGATGAAGACTAAGATACATTAATGAAGGATGTTTGTACTACTCATCAAGAACGTGAGAGGTTAGATATCATGCTGGCATCTCTGGGAATGAAACATATCTGGTGAGGAAAGCCTACGTAAGCACATATGGAAGACATCCACTCAAAAACAAAATTACGGATGTCTGCAACATGAAATACATGAAATATTTATCTAAGGAAGTTAGAACCATGCTAAAAAAATTGTCTACTGAACTAAAAAAAAAATGGGGAAAGATTAAGTATTGGTCTAGAAGGGTGAAACAAAGGGAAGCACAAATGAACAAAGCAAATCTTCAGCATGGGGCTGCAGGGAATTCTTGTGGTTGTTAAAGCAGACATGGCTCTGCCAGAAATAAAAACTTCTTTCAGTTTTTTTTTTCTTTTGGGGCTTGGTTGTTTGGTTGTTTTGGGGGGTTTGTTTGTTTGGTTGTTTGGGGTTTTGGGTTTTATTTTTTTGTGTTTTTTTTTTTGTGTGTGTGGCTTTTTGTTCCCCCCCCCCCCCAATAAGCTTTTAACCGAACTTTAGTTATCCCTATTAGACTGGTGGATATAAATAGTTATCATAGGAGAATATTAAAGTCCTTCAAGCTCAGTTGATTAACAGCATTTAAGGCTGTAGCATTATTCTAAAGCAGGGAACTATAACTTAAAACCCCTAAATCCTTCAAGTCCTTTTTTTTTTACTCTCTTTTTTATCTTCTTCCCTTACACATCAGTAGATGAAGTCAGTTCTGAGCATTTAATTATGTTTCCTTAAATACCAAGAACACGACAAAAGGTATTTAAACAATATACATGTTATACTTCACAGAGCACAACACAGAGATGGCAGAAAAATGTACAGAAAAGTGACCTTTCTTGGGATGCATCAGCTCACACACCTTCCTGGAAAAGACAAAATGGCAAAGATAAAAAACCAGCCATGAGAAAAAAAAACATCAACAGCAGAAACCTGCATTGCTGTATTACCTCCCATGTAATCTGAAAATACTTTTTCCAAAATTTGAAAGCATTTCATAAGAGCAGTCAGAAGCATATTGGTTTTTTTCTTTTTCCTTTTCAAAGCAAAGCAAAGTTCCACCCTTGCTGTCTGTCTCTCTTTTTTTCTTCTCCTTAAGAAAAAAAAAAAAAAGTTTTGAGAATTTCATTTTTCTATTCACTGCAGTCCTGGCCAAAGTAAAGCCCTCTTTTACATTGACGTCAAGATCTTTACTGAGATTAGGGTTTCATTTCTCTATTGCAGCAATTAGCTAGGGAATGTATAAAAGGCTTCAGGGAAGCAAGTTAGGACTCCAGAGGGGAAAGCACTTTACACCATAGGCAGATAGCAAGAGAGAGGAGGACGAGAGGAGGAAGGCAGGAATACAGAGAGGCGGGGGGGGGGGGGGAGGGAGAGAGAGAAGGAGGGAGGAAGGGAGGGAGGAACAGAAAGTTTATGTACATAAACCTTTTCTTTTTTTTTTTTTTAATGTATTGTTGCACCTGGTAGCTAGCTTTACTGACACAGAATTGAGAGCTCTGTTCGGTGCTTAAATAGCTGAGAAACAATGGGATAGTGCAGGGAAGTTAACAATTAACAGTCTCAGCTTAAATTTTGTGACTGCAGGGAACTGGAAACACAGCTGCCTCTCTTTTCAACAAAATCAGGTCTCCTGGTTAAGGGAAGAATTTTTATTAACATCTTAGTTTCTGAAAAATAAGCAGCTCCGAGTTGAATGACTATCGTGCAGTTATGGTTTTAACCAGCCTGCTCATATTTAACTATCTCTGCTCATTTTAAAGAGGGAAGCTGAGAGAAGGGTAATAAGGCTTCAGAAATGTTTTTTACTTTACTTTTTTAAATGAGAGTACAGAGCAAAAAAGGGAGCTGAAGCTATCCAGCTGAAAAGAAGCAGCAAGGAAGATGGGTCTGCTAAGTGTGGATTTGTTGATCACGCTTCAGATCTTGCCTGTCTTTTTCTCCAATTGCCTCTTCCTTGCTCTCTATGACTCTGTGATCCTCCTGAAGCACATGGTGCTATTTCTGAGCCGGTCCAAATCTGGGCGCGGTGAGTGGCGGAGGATGCTGACCTCGGAGGGGCTGCGCTGCGTCTGGAACAGTTTCCTCCTGGATGCCTACAAGCAGGTGGGTGCATGGCGATGGGGACTGGCAGGCTGGGGTGGGTGAGCTGCCATAAACATCCCCATTGTCAACAGAGGAGGGAAGGAATGTCTCTGTGCATTGAAGGCTACCTCCTATTTGACGTGAGACACACAAGCTGAAAGGAGCAGTACTTTTAAGTCAGGGACTAAGGGTTCACCAGATCCAGGAGCTGCTGCCTCTCTGTTCTGCCACTAACTCTCTGTGCAGCCATAGCCATCCCGCTTATTTTAGCCATGCCTCAGTTTCCGCACCAGTAAGAATAATGATTTTCATGTCTATAAAGTACTTCAGGATCTTCATATAAGAACAACTGTAAAGTAGATGTTTTCACAGTTATTTTGTTGTTTAGAATTGTTTGCCATGTGATATCCTCAGACATTAGAGAAAGACTGTATCTTCAGTTAGAGCTCTATATAGGTGGATGTCATCTATGTAACAGACAGAATTGTTTCAATTAGAGTAAAAGACAGAAATGAACCTTTGTCATTACACTGGCATTTTCTGTTGCTCATATGTTAATTTTTACATTGGAGGAAGCATCCAAGTAATAGTAAAATTGGGCATGAACTGAAACAGCCTTTTTTTCTTCATGAATCAGTGACAGAGGGGCATGTCAGAGATTAAAAATGAGCTTCACTAGCCGAGAGACAGCTACCTGGTGATTTAAGCTAATAAAGCCAATAGCAGTTATACAACTGGTACTTTTTTTTTTTCCTTTTTCCTTTTAAGTTTTGTACAGACATTACCCCGTGGTACTGCCCAGGTCTCATAAGGTAGGTATAGTTCCCATTTATAGATTGAGACGGTGGACCCTAAAAGATGAAATTTCTTGCACAGCCTACTCAGTTAGTAAGTAGAAGTACTGATTTCAGAGATTTGCAGCTTCCAAAACAGTGTTTAGTCTGTTAATGTGTTGTCTTATTTAGACTATCTAATTTAACATGCCCTATGATGTATGAGGTCACAGAGGATCTATCCAGATGATAGCTCTGTGTCTTGAAATATTTCATTTTATATTACCTTCCCCCAGTCCCCTTTCACTCCCCTTCAATGGCTTTTGTATTTGCTCTTTACCTAGAGGTGTTAAGAGCTGGTGGTGTTGGTGATAGCTGGCTTTGTGATAGGTAATACAAGCTACTTAGCCTGAAATCCAGCCCATGGGGACATTAATTTTCTGTGTAAGTAACATACTTTTGCCAAATGGGTCAACCTCTTACTGCCACCCTAGGAATCAGCCAGCTGGCTACTCAAGTAAAGTAATGCTGAATGAAGCTTACTATTCTCCTGGCCCTCCCAGTTTCTTTTTTTAGTCTCTTCACAGACATTAAGTAAGTAAATTTTACAGTGGCCTTGTTAAATGGCATGGTGAACACACTTGTTCCCCTTTCACAAATGAGGCATGGTAGGATAGTTGACACATGACTTTGTCAAAGCTCCAGTGGAAGTTGGTAGTATGCCTCTGAAACAGCCAAGCTTCCAGTTTCCATATTTGCAACCTGTATATGGGTCAGGTTCTGGAGAAGGTGTGGAGCTGTAAGGAACCTTTTATCTATGAGATATTTTCAATCTCATTTTGCTTGAATAACACAAAATGATTTAAAATAAAGCTGCCACATGCCTTTCTACACTGTCCAAAGTCATACTTTGCTTTTTCCTCATTACTCTTGATTTCAGCCATGGAAGCTATAGGAGGGTGACTCTATGCTATTTTTGGTTTTGGCATTGAAACTCATACCTTGAACTTTGGTAGTTAAAAGCTCTGCCTTATCACCATTAAATAACCTAGGTTGTTCAGGGCAATCAGGGTTTAAGGACTCTAGAATGAGTTCTGGGTCTCAATGAACTCAGAAGAAAAATGCATATAAACATAACCAACATAACCATATCACCTTTTTCCAAAACGGGAAAAAATTCCATTCATTCTTAAGATGAAACTTATTGACCAACACTTCATTCTTAACAGAATAGAATTTCTTAATAGAATTATGGGCTGTAGAGACAGAATATCATCGGAAGCCTTTGATTGTCACAGAAAGGTGGATAAATGCAAAAATCAAATTGTAAAGGAGACACAATAAACTGAGGAGCAATATTAGGAGAAGAAAAGTCATCACCTCCACAACAGAAAAAAATTTTCTGCTGCTTCTGTAAGGAAGAGAAAAGAAGAAAAGTTTTACCTGCAAAGCTGTACTGGTAGAGTTGAAAAAAATTGAAATATACCTTGTTTTGGCATGTTTAAAAGGCATGAGAAATAGTGCAATATGTTAAAGACTGTCCCACAAAGCATCTTTTCCCTAAAATCATCTTTTTCTAAATCCTGAATAGGAGTCCTGATCGTGGTATCTTAATCTTAGGCAACTAATGAGGGTAGGAAATGAAAATATTAGGAAATCAGGGTGCTAATGTGCATGGCAAAATGCAGTCTGTGATTGTTTTTTGCTTCAATTTGCTAGCTGAAGCCAGGTATTAGCAAAGTACTTAAGCAGGTGCTTAAGCTCATTCCATTGAAAAGTATTTGTAAGATAATCATCATTTTTCAGCTAGAACAGCAGAATTGCAGATGTCTGAGATAAACCAAAGCTAGACTGCCAGTTAATAGAAGACTGGATTAAAGCATTAATTATGCTTGCTTCTACCATGTTTTGTGTTGCTTACACAGAACTCTTTCCCAGTACATTTCAGAACATCTTTCACAAAAGTACTTGATGTAAAATTTTCATTCACATTAAAAATTACTGGAAGCCATTCCAGAAAAACCCAGTGGTTAGATACTAGATTATGGAATAAAGTGAATTTATTACAAGAAAGGAGTTCTGCCTGGAAAGCACATAGCCTGTCTTAGAATTTATTTTGTTTCAAGACTAGTGTGTAAAAGAGATGATCTTGGAATAGAGTGTATTTGAAAATAGCTATTCTGATGCATTTTCTCTCCTAGAAAACCTTTTGAATATCTTACCCAAATTTCAACTTGCTTTTGTTCTTCATGTTGTTGTTATCTTAATAACAACCAAATTACTTCACATGACTTTTTTTTTTTTAATTGTATTATTGCACATGACTTTTTTTGCAGATTTTTAATAGGCAACATTACCTAGCAACAACTGAAGATTTAAAAAAACCTCAGTGGGGAAGCAATGCAGAGTTTGCTGTACTGTATATATTCAGTATTCTTTTTTATTGGAACATTCTATATGATTTATTTTCTCCACATTTTACAGTCCCAATAGAGTCAACATGATTTATCTTTTGTTTATTTTTTATTTTCTTATGTAAATTTTATCAATGATTAATATATATCTTTTTACTTCCTTAGCTCTTAGTTCAGTATCTGTCACACTCAGTGTTGACATTGTCTGCACTGTACCAGATTTCTGATTAATAGAACGTCCTCCTCCTAATCTTTTCCAAGAGGCAAGTGTGTCTTACATTACAAGAAGGAGTCTTTAAGACCAGATTAATTGTCTTAATAGTGATAATTAGAGCTAGTAGCCAATTTTCTTTAACTTCACATAATTGAGAGAGTGCAACTGTTGTATTTTAAATTTTCTAATTTATGTTTGTGTTCTGTTTATCTACAGAAGTGAGTGGATTGCTTCCTGAAGAGCAAGTCATGTATGTATGTGTGTGTAGGTATTTACACGTTCATATGTGTTTGTATGTATACAGATATATATGTGTGTGTATCTGTCTCTCTCTATATGTACATACATATATGCATATGTGTATAAATGCAAAAATACACACATACAAGCATACATAATCTGCTTTTTCAGGAGTCAGTCTTCTCTTTTTTCTGTATATGTATACACATATATATATGTATACAAATAGATAGATATGACTTCAACCACACCTATTGATAACAGAAAAAAACCCCAGAGATTTTTGGGAGGGCGTTAATGTGTCTTCTGCATGATTTATATAGGTCATCTGTACAAATGCCAGTGAGGTGTTTGTTTCAGCCCACAGCATGTGTACTCAATGTTTAATATTGCTTACAGAAATACAGAGGAAAAGCTAGAGAAGTCTTTAAAAATCCACTGTATTTACTTTAAAAATATATTTTTTTTTTTACCTGCTAAGTTCCATGCTCTATTTAGTACTGGAATTAATCTGCTAAGATTCCAAAGGTGAGAAATTGTCATCTTAAAATGCTTTTTAAACAGGTACAAAAAAAGTTGCACCCTTTAGCAGTGCCCAGTGGTGAGGCTTCATGCTCAGAGCTTTACCGCAGCCAGATAAGAGCTGTGTTTCAGTAATGTGGAGCTACTGTTCCTGGCCTCCACTGGAGACCTGTAAGGTTATTCTTGAGCAAAGCTTCCATCTTCTCCACTTCAGTGTAAGGTCCTTAGGAGGAAGACCTTAATATCTCCTTGGAGCAGCCAAGTGCTTAGGAATGTTGTGGTGCAGCTATGGGGGTAACAAGCATGTATACATGTATACACACGTGTGTAAACATATGTTACAGCCCTCAGAAGGATGCCAGTATCTCAAGTGATGGATGGTGATGGATGTGTGTATGTACTTGGAAAGCATTTTACTGTCTTTAGAACAGGCCAGCAGCAAGTTCTTGCATGACAGACCCAACATAGAGGGAATGGTTGTCCCAGGATCCCAACTTCTCTGCTTAGGTCCAACTCTGGATGTAACAGCAAGTAAACTGGTTCAGTAAACACCCAGTGGGATTTTCCTCAGATTTTAGGGAGGCACAATTAACTTACCTCTGGTTACTTATGCCTGCCTGATAGGGACATAATTTATTCATAAAATAAATCAGTATGTGAAGTAGGACAGTCCAAAAACTGTCATGGTAAGAGCATGCTACACAGCACTATCGCAAAGCTAGACATGCAAGTAACATAATGGCATGATTCTTACCCCCTGTTTGGCTGTTTTTTTGCTTTTTGGGAAAATCCTTTAAGGGTTGAAACAAAGACATAACCTCTATAATTATTCGTATTGAATTTGTCTGTTGAGGTAAG